AGACAACCTGCTACCCTGGGCTTCCTAATAGAAGGACATAATGCCATGTATGAGCTGCTAGTCATGGTAAGCAGCATCATCCTCACCTTTTCAGGGTGGAAACTGAGGCTGGATTGTGCCCTTTCTGCCAAAACCATGTAATGGTCCTTCACATAGCCATCACTCGGCCTCAACATGTGGTTAGTCTTATTTCATCCCTGAATAAGACCCTCTCCTAGATTATCTCAAATAAAAATAAATTATTTCAAAGATGCCCTTTTGAAAATACTTCAGAAGGTGCAACTCAGGGGGGAAACAACTCATTTTGTAAAATAGAACCCCAATACTATTATCACCCCGGGAAAAAATCAACACTTGTTCCTTAATACAATTTAATAGTCAATCTGTATTCAAATGACCCTGAGCATGTCATAAGTGCCTTTTTAAGAATTGCTCTATTAGAATCTGGATCCGGGAAGGTCCACATACTGCCTCAGGTTGTTTACCTCCAAGGCCTCTTGCATAGATGGTGATGTGTGCTTCTATTCCATCTATAAAATATTGTGCTGAAAATTGAGTGTATATCTGGGCAAGCCCCTAGATCTCATCACTGCAATTACAGGAAAAGAAGAAACTACTGAACCACCACTAAGGATGCCACATTCCAAATGCAACATACAGAACACACTATAAGACAATGTGACATTTATTTTATTCTTATATTGTTTTAGACCCTTTTCATTATTCTCATATTTCATATTTTATAAAATACTTCTAGCACATAATCTCCTTTGATCCTCACCATAAACTCTTGAATTAGGCATGGTAAGTGTCATCATCCTCACCTTTTAGGCATTGTTACTACGGTTCAGAGGGACTAGTGTTTTCCTAACATTGGCCAGGATATTACGCAAGACCAGGCCTAGACACCACATCTAAAGTGCAATTCAGAGGCAGCACAGCATGACATGTACAAATACACAAAGCCTGGAATCCCAGCTCTACTGCTCAGCAGGTGACCTTGGGAAGGTGACTTATCTGACTTGTACCTTGATTTCCCCTCCTGCCATATGGCCATTTTGCCCAACAACACTTACAAACACAGACCCAACTGCTGACCCTGTGCTAAAATTATTTTTTGCCTCCTTTTAGAATTTAATTTGATGCCTTGCCAAGAGAGGCCATCTTGCACTTCCCAGTGTAAATATAGAGCAAAGCAAGGGACTTCTACAGACTTTAGTCAGCACCACCAGCCGTGGTGGCCAGAGAGACAATAACAAGCAGAAAGCAAGGCTATCTCATTGTCATTGATGACTTGTATCGTGGTCTTCTCTGAAGAGCCCTGGGTTTGGCTTGCCGTCCTGGTGTCCTGTTGTTTTGCTTTCTAAAGAGTCTGGATTCTGAAACAGCGCCCCCTCCCACCCCCAAGTGTAATTCACATAGTCATATTAATGAACTACTATCCTCAGCACTTAAGGACATCACAAAGTCACACTACTTTAATTTCAGGGCTTCACAGTGAAAGGACAAAGATAGATTGTTCTATTTTATTGTTTCCAGAATTGGCAGGAAATATTTAATAATTTGGACTTGATGCACTACAAACACAACCAGAAACCCAATAACATCGCTACTTATCTTCTATCTCCAAAGGATGGATACAGATCTGAAGTCTGTAGTTCACAATGAATGATCAGTAACCCTTTGAAATGTGCCTAATGAAAATCTACAGAAGAAAGGATTGTTTGGATATTTTTCACTTTATAATTTATGCATTTTTTATTATTTGAAGTTGAGAGAGAGACAGAGGTTGACAGAGAAAATCTCTGGGTGAGCAAATCCACCACCCAGGTCCTTATTAAAATATCCAAAAGTGCAGAACTTGAAATTTTCAACATTCAGTAGTTAAGATTTTCAACAGTGGCACATTCTCTTTCTTGCCTCCCAAGAGACATCCCATTAAATCCTGGGAAACATGACTATGAAAAGGAGAAACATATTGCAGCCAAGTTTGTGCTCAGAAGTTGCTATAGAATCAACCTTCTCTTGCATTACCACATGACCCAAAGAAAATTAGCCTGGAGGAGTCTCACAGATGAGTGAAGCAGAGAAAATCTACGTAGATTTTCTTATTCCTGAATTTTAGATTGTGGTACGTCCACAAGGACTGCTGGGACCACCTCAGTTTCATAGGCACAGAGGGCCGTGTGGGTAAAAGAAGGTGGGGTCCTGAGTCTTCCCAACATGACAAAGTCAAAGGCAGACACATGGTGAGTGGCAGAGCTGCCTTTGTGCCTGAATCCGAGAGAAAAAAATGGTCAACCTCTGAGGACTGGGAAGGGGCTGAAATGCTTTCCAGTTGTGAGAAATTACACACAAAAAATAAAAGCATCATGGAGAAAAGATACCATTCCAGTGAAAAACTACATTTCTTCTTATGTCTGTGACCACCATGAACTCCTGCTCTTCCCCAAACAAATTTGCTGCCTTTCCCTTTAACCTTGAGCACACCTTTGTTTATTTATGTGGACTCCATTCTGTTAATAGTGTCTGCAGTGCATAGCCTGCTCCAGATCGTTAGTCTTTAATTCACACATATAGACACATTGCTTTTTCACTCATCCCCCATTTCCTCCTCTTAAAATATTGGTTAGGTATCTCAGACAGTTTTCAGTTCTAAAATGTTACGATTGTTTTGTCAGAATTGGCAACCTCAGCCCGGTGGGGTGGCTGACGCCTGTAATCCCAGCACTTTGGGAGTCAGAGGCGGGAGGATCACTTGAAGTCATGAGTTCAAGACCAGCCTGGCCAACATGGTGAAACCCCGATCTCTACTAAAAATACAAAAATTAGCTGGGCGTGGTGGCAGGCACCTGTAGCCCCAGCTACTCAGGAGGCTGAGGCAGGAGAGTCACTTGAACCCAGGAGGCGGAGGTTGCAGTGAGCTGAGATCGCGCCACTACACTCCAGCCTGGGCAACAGAATGAGACCTCATCTCAAAAAAAAAAAAAAGAATACTATTTATTATTTGAATTGACCGGAAAAAATCTTGAAACAATTATTAGAATACTCTATAATGGATTCTGCCATCCTCCCCCTCAGGATGGATGTGGCTTTTATCAGGAGAATTATTCAAAGATTTTTTTAGGACACAGAAATATGGTAGAAGAGGACAGGAGCTGAGAGCACTCTTGTGTTAGGAGAGATGTAACATTAATTGCCATTATTACAATTTCACCAGCTTTTGCCTGTCAAAGAGCAGAAGTAGGTTTTCCCCTGCTGCTCTTTTTAAAATTGTTCTTTTTAGAAACATGGGAGAGGGAGCTTATTTTATCTCAAGACCTAGACAAAGGAAGTGAGATCTAACTATTTTTGGCTCAGTTTCTTCATTTAAATCAGATCAAATAATTTTAATGACTTAGAAGAAGATTCCATTACCTGGGTGGTAATTACTCAAATGCTGTTATATTTTAAGTCATGATTTTGATTAATGATTCATTACTATTAATATCTGAATAGTGGACTAGGCTCGTTTTTTTCCCTTTCCTTTTGTAGAGAAGATAAAAATATGTAGAAATAAATTACCAATATACTCCAAAGTTTCGATCACTTTTATAAAAGATTCACATTCCAAGTTTAAATAATTACAAATACAACTGTAAGAAATTGCTATTGAACTAGAGTATAAAAAATACCCAGAGTACATAGATGAGCGAATAAATCTTCGTTTAGGGTTGAGGTAGCAGCAGCTGTCTACCTCGTTTCTTGACCATCTATGTTCTTCCAACATCCAATTGTCAGAATTTGATGCAGTAAGTGATTAAAGAAACTTATCATGGGCCAGTTGTCCCCAGTCTCCGCAATGTCCTGTTGTGCTCCTGGAATTGGAAGACTTCCTAATTCCTTAAAGTGAAAGGATGTGAATGGTGCTCCTGCTCTCCCTGACCAGCACCTCGTGCTTTGCAGTGGAGAATCTGTCCTGAGACCCGAAAGATAGTGGCCTCCGCATTGTGCTGCCAGGGCAGCTGCTGTGTGCACTTGTCCGCAGCTGCAAACCTTCTGTCCTTTGTTGGTGCTTCCCCGGATGCCCAGGTCTCTATTGTCATTGCTGCCTCTTTCTCCATTTGCTTCCAGCTTTCTCCAGGTAGAGAATAAGTATTTTTATTTACACAAATGACCTAAGTTGTTTTCTCTGTCTGGATTAAAATGCACATGCAAATGAGACATATGAGAAAAGTACTATCTTTTCCAGATATCGCTGATGTTATATTGGATATTAGGTGAATACAAAACTCTTCAACCAAAGCCTTCATCCCTTTAGTTAAGTCCAGAGCAGCCTGTCTGGGTTACATGTATGTCCGAGCTCATGCAGCCAAATAAGAAACACACACTTGGTTAAAATGTTTAAAGAGATGAAGGAGAAGGGAAGACAAGCCCTCTGCTTGGATATTATGAGAGGAGAAAACCAAGGCTCAAACACGGATTTTTTTTTTAAAGAATTGAATTGGACCCAGTGACATCAACAGGAGGTGTCTGGGGGTAAAGAGAATGGAAAGGGGAGAAAAAAATCAAGACAACTCAAATTTAAGTTAAAATAGAAAGGAAGGGGGTCCAAAGCGAGGAAGGAGAAGTGGAGGGGACCAAGAAATGGGAGAGAGACTCAGGGAGGAGAAGAACAAGAAAATAACATTTTGAGCAGCCTTGGAACTCTCTATATAACTTCAGGAAGGGAGAGTTTGTAAAACCAGGTCCTACTGGTTTTGTTGTATGTCTTATGCATGATTTTTTAACACTAAAATAAAAACGTTTGGCAGACAGGATAGAATCAACATGGCAGTTTATTTATGTCCCTGTTCTCATGAACATCAGGGGGCTTTTGAGAAGCATTTGAGAACATTGGCAACTTTATGTTAATTCATGTTTGTTCTGCCCCTCCATGCCTTAATCTTTCTGTTACTCTCTCTCTGTTCTTCCTTATTCACCAAACCCATCCAAGGCATTCAGGCATATTAATTACTTCCTGAAATACGTGGCTCAAGTGTTTGTTCCACCAGCAGTGGAACAAACCAGCACGTCCACATTGTCTTTTGAGAATGAGAAGTCATTCTGGGGCACCGCTCTTCCCACGCTCCGGGCCCACACACACAGCCCCACTCCATCAAAGGAGCCTGCTGCCCGCCCACCCACCCGGGCTGCTTTCTGGCTTGCAGTCCTCTTGGCAGACATGAGGCAACGGTTGCTCCCGTTCTTCACCAGCCTTCTCCTTGTGGCTCTGCTGTTTCCAGGTAAAATGGAAAGGTGACCCAGGCATGGGTGCTAGAATCTCTCTGCAATGGTCATCTGGGGTGTGGGAGTTCAGGCTGGGCAGGGAGAGATGAAGTCCTGGGAGCACACATTCCTGGTGGAGCTTTGGGTCTCTGAACTGGGTTCATAAATGGCACTCTGAATTGGCTGATGGCACTTGCTTTCCAGGGGAGAGGGTCCCACCCCGACTCCATTTTCTTATCCTTTTGACATTCCCCTTTCCCTTACAGAGAAGAATATTACATTTTAGGGAATCTTAACAACTGCATTAGTGACGCTTGAAATACATTCTCTGGCTGCGCTGGCTTTGAGGTGCTCAGACTCACTGTTCATGGCATACATTTCTTACACATCATTCACCTTCTCCTCTCTCTACACACAGGCGCATACAACACATGTGCACAAATGTGCACACACATGGAATACTAGCATCCCTCCCAACTCCCTCACCCAGTCACTCACACTCACTCACTTGGTAGAGCCTAGGTGCCTCATGCTGACGGATCTTCCAGGCGGAGGCCTCAGAGCATCCTCAGCCATGTGTTTCCACTTGCACAGGATTGTCCCAAGCCAGACATGTTAACCACTCAGCCACCGAGGCTCTCAGAGAACTCCGGGAAGGAGCCACTGGGCAAGGCACAAACGGGTCTCAGCTGCTACGCCACCCAGTGAAACGGGCCCTCATAATACGGCGTATCCCCCATTACCCAGGTGAGTCGGGGACCAACACGGGAAACAAGTGCATCCGCTGGGGAGATGTAAAGGGAACAAATAGATGGGAAGGTGTCTGTGCTGGTCAGGGTGGGTGAGCAGTCATTGTTTGAGGAAGACATGGTGTGGGTGCGTTGGGCTGCCCTGACTGTCAGGGAGGCCCTGGGGTCTCACGGCTTCCCCTGCGGCTGGATCACGGAGGGCCTCGTGGAACATGGAAGTTTTGAGGGGCCAAAAGGCAAATTATCTGAGGCCACGTCTAATTGCTGACTTCCTCCAAGAACAGGAGCCAGAGGAGACGCTGGTGGAAACGTGGCTTCCTGCCAGGTTGCAACTCCATGCCGTTAGCTTTGGAGGTCGTTCCACCCTACAGGAATTTACTGAATACCTGCTAAGTGCCAGGTGTCCATTGCAGTCCGGAAAATGCTTCCCGAGGATGGGGGCAGAGAATAGACTGTATTATCAGTCTACTCAGGCAAGGAGGTAGCAGGAAATTTCAAGGGACAATTGAGTCCACAGCCACCTATCTGGACTCTTCCAGAAGGGCCAGGCTTCTGGTCAACCCCCAAACCCCTGGACAGGACCAGCTACAAATCCAGAAGGGCCTGGAGGAGCCTGTAGTTTCCAAGATGCTTCTTTAATCCCAAGCTCATTGCTGATCGTAAGACAGGGAGAACTAGGTTAGCAGCTCAGTGAGCAAGAGTAAGAAAGACAGGAGGGTGTTAGCAAATTGCTGTGACATCCAGCAAATAATGTCCTGCTGAACTTGACACCTGCAGCATCCTACCTAACCTCCCATCCCTTTCTAATTGGCCCTCAGTTCCAAAGGACTCATTCATCTGGATCTCCTCCCAAGGGAAGGGAAAAAGAAAACTCAATTATTGCACAACAAATATAAACAGGTGCAATAGTAGGCACGTGTTATTTAGTCTAACGGTATTCCTATGAGACAGGATTATTCCTTCCTTTGGTTAGAGGAGATTTAGCAGGGAAGAGCTATACATCTGGAGCTGAGGTTTTAGTTTGGAACTTGAAGCTATTAGCTATGGACAGCTGTTTCATATCCATGCCACCCCGCCCTGTCCCTCAGGGTTGTAATGACCACAGTTTGATTCTGGAGATGGTCTTAAGAAGCTAATGTTGGATTTTTTTTTTTTTTTTTTAATGCAGAAGTTGAATCAGATTTAAGAATTGTCGACTGCAAGAGAAGTGAAGGCTTCTGTCAAGAATACTGTAATTATCTGGAAACGCAAGTAGGCTACTGCTCGAAAAAGAAAGACGCGTGCTGTTTACATTAAAACCGATGTCGCTGGTATAGAAATAAAGCTCTGCCACTTACCGGTTCTCCTGGGCCGCGTTGTCCAATCAGGTGCAGGTTTTTTGCGGAAGTGTCTGAGCAGCGGGGAGCGGAGGTATTGCCACTTGTGCCAGACAGTTCAAATATTTTATTGTGGCAAAATAAATGACAAAAATGCTACCCGTGATCTTAAAGAAGATGATATAGCTTGACACAAACAGAATTTTCAAAATCACACAATTTGTCAATTTGTGCTAGTAAATGTGGATATAATAAACTTTCATTGGAAAGAATTCAAATAATTTGTTCTTTTATTTAAAAACTATTTTTTGAATACCTACTTCTATTCTAGGTTCTGTGCAATGGAGTCCATTCTGTTCTAAGTATCGTGGAATGTAGTCAGGATGTTAGGTGTGTGGTCAAACCCATTCTCCGTCAGCCCCATCAGCAACTACGCGCAGGCCGGTTCAAAGCCCTGTTCTCTAGCAGCGGCTGAGAGTGTGCAGGCAAATGCCTTCTGGGGAGAGACTGGGAGCTGGGAGTTACGGCCTGTTCTCTTTGTGCTAAACCTGGAAGAATACCCACTGGAAGTCCTCTTGTGCCCCTTTAAAACTACCCGTTTGTTTTTCGTGGCCTTAGAAGACACAAAACACAGAGCCCCATCTATGACCCGATGGTGCTGTGCATTTCCAGGCTTTTGGTGTCCTGAACAAAGAACTGGATGTGATACTCAAAGAGCAAAGAAAGCAGCAAAAGTGTGTGAAGCCCAGTATTACACTCCGGGAGAGGGGAGAGTGGGCTGACTTCTGCCAAATGGGATCAGCATGACTTCGGCGTACTTGGGTCTTTTTTAATGTTTTTTTTCCTTCTGTTCGTAAGGCTGCCTTAGCTTTAGGCGGTGCTTGCCTGTTGATTGTTAGGTGTGTTGCTTAGTTACTTTAGCCTCTGCGGGCTTGTGTGTTGTCTCTAGCCTATAATTTTAAGTACATGCATGATATGCAATCCATATGAATACGCTTTAATGAGCTGATTATCATACGGGGTCCTGTTAAGGATACTTTTTCTCTTTAACGCGCATGCCTGTCTCTGAAGAGCTGCCACTTCCTGGTTTGGTCTGGATCTTGCTGGCCATGGGGTCCTTGCTCTGTTCTTTATCTTACTTTTTGTTTTGGCTGCTTCACTTCTGCCTCTTATATTGCTTCTTGCTCACCCACCCCTTCACCTTGCTTCTGTTTCTGCTTTTATTCATTCTGCCCTTTATCCAACTTCCAGTTTCCTCTGCAATTCTCCTGCCTCACATTCACTTTCAGAGATAAGTGATTTAGGAGCCAGTCCCCCAGGTGGCAGCTATAAAACTATGCTTGATGTATTCTCCTTCTAGGGAGAAGTTGGAGACCTGGATTTTTTGCTGGAGCTAGTGGGGAAGAGCAGGCACAGTGCCTATCTATATCTCTGTTCAGGCTCCCACAGGTCTACTGTTTACCCTGCCCCTTTGGCTCCCAGATGCAGACCCAGAAGTCAGCCCTCAGGTAGCAGATGGGAAAATGGGTAGATAAAGCCCTTGCAGGTAGAAACCAGGAGGTGGGCATTTGCCTGCCTGCTCTGGCCCGAGCCCAGGGAGACAGCTGCCAAAAGTGCTTGCAAATCTGTGTCCAGCCATCTCTTTGGCATCTGTGGTTTAGGGAGACCTGCAGATGCCACATCTATCAACCCCAAGCTGGGTGATTTAGGAGCCAAATCCCTGGGTGGGAAGTATAAAGGTCCGGGTACTATATGTGTGGTCCAAAGCCTTCACTCTGCAGGGAGAAGCTAGGAGTTGGGACTTCCTTACCGATTGATTGTAAGGTGCTATGCCTGGGATAGGGATTGTGCTGGGAGTGTGTCTCAGCTCTTCCCGCCTCTTTTCACATGAATATTTTCTCAGTTGCTTGATGTGTAGCAGTCTTTCAACTAGTCTTTGGCTTTCTCTCAGAAAGAACTGATCTGTGTGTTGCTCTTTCTTTGGTGTATCTGTGGAAGGAAGGAAAGGCTGGAGCCTCTGATTCCACCATCTTGCAGATGTTAGTCTGGCACATCCTTGATTACTGTGTAGTTGAGCATTTTTTCATTTGTTTATTGATCATTTTTTCTCTTCTGTAAAATTTAATAATTTATTGGGTTACACTTTATTTATTTTTTATTTATTTTATTTTTGGATGGAGTTTCACTCTTATTGCCCAGGCTGGAGTGCAATGGCTCTATTTCAGCTCACCGCAACCTCCGCCTCCTGGGTTCAAGCGATTCTCCTGCCTCAGCCTACCTAAGTGGCTGGGATTACAGGTGTGCACCACCACACCCAGCTAATTTTGTATTTCTAGTACAGATGGGGTTTCTCCATGTTGCAGGCTGGTCTTGAACTCCTGACCTCAGGTGATCCGCCCACCTCAGCCTCCCAAAATGCTGGGATTACAGGAGTGAACCACTGTGCCCGGCCCAGTTACTACTTTATTCTTATCCATGTATATCTGGTCCTTTTATATCTAACCTTACATATTATTTCCTCCATCAATTGTCTTTCTTTTCTCTGGAATGCCTCCTGTTTAAACCCCAGTTATCCTTGAAATATCCTCTCATTATCTTTCAACCATAATTTTCATGTTTTTCCCTTTTGTTCTCTACTTTGCAGATATTTATTTTTATATCAGTTTCTCTTCCTGTAGAGCCCTTCTATTTTTTTTACTATTTTTGGATTTTGAGGTTCAGTTATTAGATTTTTATTTATTTTTAAAGAGTCTTACATTTGCAAATAGTCTTTTTCTTTCTCAACGTGTGACTTTCTCATGGGACCTAATTCTCATTTTGCTGACCATAGTTTCTCAAATCTCATTAGGAATACACATTGATTTTTTAAAACTGCATTTTTCCATTCACATAGCACATGTTCCAGTTCAGTTAAGTGTCTTCCAGTTTTTAAAAGTGCTGATTTCACTTCTGCTAGTTTTACACTGACTGCTAACATCTACTTGCTCAAGCAGACCAGCTGTGGAGGATTGCTTTGGTAGGGTAGGCTTGAGAGGTGGCAAAGAATCAATGTGGGTAGAATCTGCTGTTTGTCTTAAAATTTTCTGTAGAGTATCTCTACTTAAAAGAAGTTTCACGGATATCTTTAATAAATACATAGGGAAGAAATAATGATATTTACCTAACCTGTCTGTAAAATCTTCATCAGTGGTAATTACTTTAAACTCAAGTTAATTAATAATAAACTGCATATCACAAACTTTGAGCTCATTATTCTCTTTGCAGCTTTCTTTAATTCCCATAAATTAAAAATTCCTGCAAATATTGTTATTTATGAGGTTGCTACAAAACTAATTGCAGTTTTTGCCATTGAAAATAATGGTCAAAACCGCAATTAGTTTTGCACCAACCTAAATACAAGTATCTGGGTAACAATCAGGATCCCGGGGCTCAGCATAGGAAAAAGCAAGGCACACAGAGCCCTTTACAGAATGCCACCTTTCCAGGCTTCTTTTCTGAACAAAGCTGTTCCTTAATCAACTTACATACGGGCACACTCACATAGGGCTGACACCCGGCGATAATGAAGGTATGTGAAACTAGTACTTACATACAAAACCGGAAGCAGTGGTAATTTAAATAACCTCTTCGTAAAGCAATCTTAATATGTATGTAAGACATAAAATACTTATTCCCATTGTTTCAGTTATTCTGCTCAGAAATTATCCTAGGAAATAAAAAAAAAATTGAGAAACCTAAAAAACTCTGAGATATTCAAAATAGAGCACTGTATCAGCAAAGTATAATACATCTACTCAGAGATATTACATATTCCTTAGGTATCATAAATATAACACAGTGAAAAACCATTAAAATGCATAACATTTTCAAAATACGTATCTGTCCTAAAAATTATGAGACCGATGTTCACATATTCGATATAAAATTAACTGTAAGAAGTATGTTCAAAAACAATAAAGTTTCTAATGTTAAAATTGTTGGCGATTTTTAGACATTTATACCTTTAAAAATACCATCAAGTTATTGAATTACTCGTAAAATTTAAATATACATTTGTAAGAACAAAATTAATGTGCCTAAAAATAAATATATATGTATTTACAAATATATCCCTTAATTATAGGCAAAGACATTCTGTTGTAGACTCAAGTTGCACCCAGAAACTCACAGATTTAACATAAGAAAGCACTTCCTGGGCAGTAAGATGATAAGACTCCTTGTTTGTATAGTGGTGAGTAAAAAATAAATAAAAAATTTTTTAAAAGATGATATGACATTAAAGCATGTTACCCAGAGAGATTTTGGAGCCTATCTGGGATTCATAAAAAACAGGTAGAAACTGATTTTATTTTCCTCTCATTGTTTGGTATTATAATATTTGCAGTGCTGGGTTGGGGACAAGGGGAGGGAGAGCATTAGGATAAATACCTAATGCATGCGGGGATTAGAACATAGATGACAGGTTGATAGATGCAGCAAACCACCATGGCACGTGCGTATCTATGTAACAAACTTGCACGTTCTGCACATGTATCCCAGAACTTAAAGTAAAATAAAATAAAAATAAATAAAAATTACAGTCATTAAAAAAATAATTTGCCATCCTGCTTGGAGACAACTGAATAAATATAATGGGTTCTCAAGGTCAGTCCTGAGTCAGCAATTCCATTAGTTATGCATTCTTTGTTCTTCTCACGGCAGCTTTTTAGTACAGGCCCCGGAGCCCTGCTGACGTTTTATGGCCACCAGCTGTACCGCAGTGGGAAGAGGTCCTTAGATAGGAGCTTCCTGGAGGCTGTCTCAGAACCCACTGCAGCACACCTGACTGCCTTGTATTCAGCTCTGCACGCCCACCTTCCACCCACTGTCTTTCCCTCCCCTGCACCCCAGTAGCTTTCCCTGGGATTTGATCCTTCTGACTCATCCATTGCCCAGAGCGTCCCTGTCATCAGGAAGCCTGTCTTCTCCTCAATGCCTGAGGTCTGCGGGCAAGGGACAGGTGGGCAGGTTCAGTCAATTCTACCCCATTGCACCTCGCATGACATAAATAATGGTCACTTCTAGTCTTTGCTTACTGTCCCTACATGTGGTGGTCACTGCAACCCTGCAGGGTTGACCTGCTCTCACTTGGCTTATTCTTACCTCTCCGGGTCATGGAAAATGACCTTCTGCACCCAGGGAATCTCCCTTAGTTGATAAGACCAAAATGGAAACAAATAATAAGACCAAAATGGAAAGTTAGTCTGCCTTCATAAAGCGAGATTAA